GCGCCACCATGCCCAGCTAATGTTTTGTATTTTTAGTAGAGACGGGGTTTCACCATGTTGACCAGGATAGTCTCGATCTCTTGACCTTGTGAGCCACCCGCCTCGGCCTCCCAAAGTGCTGGGATTACAGGCTTGAGCCACCGCGCCCGGCCCCCCACCAATTCTTGTTGAGTAGAGAGGATATGTAAGAAACGTTCACATGGTTTCAAAAGTCAGAGTTACACAAAAAAGGTAAATAAATGCAGGTAAGTTTCTCTCCCCCTCTCTTATCCCTTCTACCCCATTCCCACCCAGTTGTTTTTGTTTATTTGCTAATCTGACAATCTTTTGTCTTTTAACTGGCATGTAAGGTCCTTTTTCATTTAATGTTATTCTGATACTTTTGAATTTATGCTTCTAAAATAATAGGTATTTTCTGTATTTCTCTCTTTGTTCTCTCTTCTTTCTTGCTTTCCTTTAGATTTTGTGATTTTTAAACTACATCTGTTCTTCTCTATTGACTTGGATGTTACATGCACTTGTATTGTTCTTTGAGTGGCCACCCTAGATCACAATAAGTATCTATGATTGACATCTAACATTAATTGATATCCTTACTTTTTTTCTATACAATGCAAGGACCTTAGAATACTAACTCTATTTATCCCCTTCCTGACGTATATTCTTACATACTATTGTTAATGTAATATTTTAAATGTGTGAGTACACATACACATGCATTCATAAAACATCAGTATTTTTTTTTTTTTTAAGACAGGGTTTCACCACATTGGTCAGGCTGGTCTTGAACTCCCGACCTCAGGTGATCTGCCTGCCTTGGCCTCCAAAGTGCCGGGATTACAGGCGTGAGCCACCATGCCCGGCCCCATAAACATCAGTGTTATTGCTTCATACAGACAATATTTACTTTAACCTACATATTTATTTATTTTTAAAATTCATGCCTTCCTATATTTCTGACCTTCCGTCTGTGACTGATTTTAATATTTCCTACAGTGATGGTCTATTGGTAACTCAGCTTTGTTAGGAAACTCTTTTCTCACCTTGCCTCCTGATATATCCTCACTGGGCTTAGAACTCCAGATTAGTAGTTCTTTTCTTTTGGAATTTTAAAAGATATGCCAGGTCTTCCAGCTTCCACTGTTTTTGTTTATATTGTTTTTTCTTCCTCCGGCTAATTTTAAGATTTTCTCTGTCTGCGATTTTTCAGTAATATGAAGACATGAATAAGTATGGATTTCTTTATATTTTTCTTGCTTGGGGTTTTTGGAGCTTCTTGAACCTATGGCTTGATGTCTTTTGCTACTCGGGGGAAGTGATGGCCATTATCTCTTGGGATGTTGTTTCCGACTCGTTTTCTCTTTCTCCTGTCCCGAGATTCCAACAACACGTTAGACCGTCTTACCTCCTCTATGTCCCTTTCCCTCTCTTCTTCACTTTTCATCTCTGAAATCACCCTGGATATTTTCTTCTATCCTATGTTCCAAGTCTCTAATTTTTAATTCTGTTGTGTCTAATTTGCTATTGAGCCCATGTAATGAATTCCTCATTTCAGAAACTTTATCTTTCATTCTAGAATGTCCACTTGGATTTTGTTTAGTTCCCAGTTCTATGCTGAAGTTCTAATTCATGTCTTTCATTTCTATGAATGCACTAGGCACAGTTATTTTAATGTCTGTGTCTGATAGCTCTATATTTGAATCTGCTGTAGGTCTGTGCTTGTTATTGTCTTGTTTCTCTGTTGCCTGGTTATTTTTCACCATATACCAGATACTGTATTTGACAATTGTAGAAATAAATTGAGTCCTAAGATGATGTTATTTTCCTCCAGAGAAAATTTATGTTTCCTAATGCTTGGTGCCTGTGGGGCAGTAACAATCTAGAATCACCTCAATTCAATCTGAGATAATCTGAAGCTGAGTGGAAGTCCATGAGAGGGCCTGTTTATATCCAGGTCACCTGTACTTCCAGAGTGCAATCTTTTAGGGTCGCAATTAAAAGTGACGGAAGTTCACCAGGACAACTCCCCCACTTTGGCAACCCATGGATTCCAACCTCTGTCCTCTGATCTGAAAAGGCTGTCAGAAGTGCTGCTCATCTCCCTCCAGACTGAATATCCAGTGCTCAACAAAGGGCTAACCTCCCCAGGGCTCTGTCTTCTCCAGGATTCTGGCCCAATTATTCTTCATTACCTAGTTCACTTCTTGATGCCTTCAAGAATATAGGTTTTATTTTTAATACACCTTTTCTATTAACAGTTATCCTCAGTGGGAGAGGTGGTCCAAATCACCAAGTGCATCATCACTAGGAGCAAAGTGATTACCTCGTTTTTATATTTGCTTCATTTGCTATATTCCTATCACTATTTATACCCGAACTGCAAGAGAAATGCAAGGGTACTTCCACTACCTTCCAACACATTAGGTACTGTATGTGTTTTTCTTCTTCCT